CTTCTTAATACGGAAAAATGACTGGTTGAATAACGCACTTTAATCTCGCGGAATGATTATTATTGAATATAATGTGATATAAGAAAATGTAAGGAAATGTAACAAAAAGAATAACGAAAAATATCAGAACGCAAAATCGTGACTCTACTCGGAATGCGAAAAGTAACATATACACGACGGTTACAGAATTTCGTCGGTTGTCTACGATTTAAACGTCTTTCGCCAAGGACGAGTTATTATAAAACATACACTGAAATCACGACGCACGACGGTCGCGTGATCGTGGAGCGCGTAGGCAAAAAAGGAACGTTTGAATTTGTTAACCGTGCTGCGAAATATTAACTTTACGCGCCTCTTAAATCGCAAAGTGGCGAGCCAGTGGAATCCGGGGATACTTCCGGTCCAGCAAGGTTTTCACCTGCGAACCTCAGATCGACAGGGGCACTGACTTCACGATTTCACTCACAATCAAAGGATGAGAAAGTCGCGCACTAAGTCCTGACCCTCGAAATACATGAATTTAAGAGTATCCGATAACCGTGGATTTGCCGGAATCCGTCAACGTTCTTCCTGTCGTACGAGGCGTACTCAAGGAAGAAATTAAGACTGCCAAGAGCGAGATCACGGCCCTCCAAATTGCAATGTAAAATTGCCAGAGCACAAGCAAAACGATGATGACTCGACTAGGTTTCCCTAGGAATCAACGACGTCTCGGATATGCCTGTGTAGAGCGATCTTTCGAGGGTGCTGAGTCCCAAGATAGAAGGCCACTACTAAATGAAAGGGAGATGTCCAAGCTCGGGCTCTAGTCACGACTTGCTGGATCGTAATCTGAAGACGGTTGTCTCTAGGAAGAGAGCCGTAGGCGAAAACGTCCGTTCTGCTTGTCGTTTGGGACCAGAGTGTCAATCGATGGATCGACACTGAGCTCCTTCGATCCGGCGTTCGAAAGAGGGGATCCGCGCACGCGCTCCACTATGACGAATAAGTAGGGATAGCACGTACCATCGCTATAGTTCCGATCTCCCAAGAAAAATCTATACTACTTTGTACTATACTATGTAACTGTACGAATATACGGTTACACACTCTTGGCCGTTCATATTTTTCAAAAAAAGAATAGAATATCATATCCGGAAATTGGGAAGGACGTATTTATTCTGCAGTTTTACCAAAACAAAAAAATAATAGCAACAAAAAATAATGATAGAAATAATGATCTCATGACATATGGGTTGAAAATCGCTATCGTAGTCGATAGAACGACGCGAGAAAAAGAAATTCACGCGTCAAAGTCTATCGCCTCTTCCAGGCTCGAACGTCCCATTCTCCATGATACATTACATCGTCGTCGACGGTTCGGTCGACGCACACAGCTTCAGATATACGAGCTGCGAATGAGCGCGCGGTCGAGCGTAGAAAACGAACGAACTGCGCGGGGGATCCGGGGTGGAGAAATGGAGGTGAAAGGACAACGAGGATACCGAGAGAATTGTATATCTAAATAAATAGTAATAATTGAAGTGTATAATCTTTAATTCAGTACAAAGTAGACGAGAAATAGACTAAGTGGTCAATCAAATCAAGAAATATAGAGAAACATCAAGTGTAAGAAAGAGTGGAGGAAGATAGGAAGGGAGATAGAGGTTATGCGGAGGCGCCGCCCCCGCTAACCCGATATGTTGAAGAGGATGACAAAATGAGCAATGAAAATGAAAGAAAAAGGAAATTCAGAGAAGACTCTTCAGAGGAAGAAGCGGGAAACCAGAGAGAAACGGAACAGACGGGCATGATGGCCGGCCCAATGAGAAAAGAGGAGCTAGGTAAGGCAGACCAATGTGAGGGCAACACAGGGAACAGGGAGGTAAGTAGACCTAGGATTGGTAATGGTGTGACTAGCGGAAGGGATTCAATGGAAAGGAACAGGTGGCTGTCGAGAATAGGGGAAGGGAAGGTATAGTAGCGAACAAGGCTAAAGTCATTGTTCGGACGCGGTTGAGAACCTTTGTCGATCGAGGGAGGTTTATGATCTTAAGAGGCCCAGCGCGTTCGTCGCCGGGAATAGCCCTTTGATTCGAAGGACGAGTCAAGGCAGGGCCTTTGTCTATCGGTTTTCGCTCGGTTCGGTCCCACGTGCAAGTAATAAACGACCTAACGGTTTCGCTGTCCCTCGTGCGTCATCGATAGAAGGTAGAAAGAAAGGACATTTTCAAATGCCACCCCTCTTATGCTAGAATTTTCAGGCGATTTCCGGGTATTTTTTGCTTGCCTTTTTTAGTCAGCTTGAAGACTTCGGGCAGTTCGGATCGCGGTCGTAACATGGTGAGTTCGCGAGTGCAAGACCCGAATCTCTTTCGATCAATCGCATGTCGTTCGGATGTGACTATTGCAGTCACACCGACGACCCGTAGGGTTGGTTACATCACGTAACCACCCTGAATACACATATTACAATTACATACAAGGCATCCGTGGTCGTAACGACGACCCGGTAGAGTGCTTACTTCCTGTAATCACTCTGATTCGATATTATTGTTCAATACAAAACGACACGATAGGGTTGGTTTTTCCACGTAACCACCCTCATTACACAGTACAAAATACACGCAATCGCACTTATGAGCCGGAGAGCAACGGCTTCATATGTGATTATTTTAATTTAAATACAATATAAGATAATATTACATGCGATCGCTCGCACCTCGCTTCAATTCGTTTTTTCTCTTTAATATATTTTAAGAATCAGGGGTTTCTATGCCGTATGGCTTTTCCCCTTCGTTTTTTGAGAGCCAATAAAATCAAACGTTTTGGCTCAATTATTATTAAATTTATTTATGAACCTACCTCACTCCTTAACATAATCTGAAATACGGGACTTCTCCATGTTGGAGAGGTTTCGACGCTACAGCCATTTCAAACGTGGGAATTAAAAAAAAATACAAGATTATAGACGACGAGGAAACAAACATAGGACTAAAGACTAAGGATAACGATAGGTCAAAGGTAAGAGAACATGATTATAACAAAGAACAGGACGCGAGAGAAACTACGTACGTGAAAGAACTCGAAAGCGGAGAATACACTATATGTATTAAGTTAAAAAAAGAAAAACTATCTAATAAGAGGAAATATAACCTTGTTAAGATCTATAATGCAATTAACAATTTAGGGATAAAGATCAAAGAAATCAGAATGGTGGTCTTTTCGAAGGCCGAAATAACGATGGGCACGAGGAAAGAGGCGAATAGAGTTATCGAGTATGGCAGAAAGAGGGAAGCGGGATACGAGGCATATGTGCCCAAAAGGAAGAGATCGAGACGCGGGGTTACAAAAGACTGGAAGGGATCGATTGAAGAACTAAAGGACTGTCTTATGGCAGGCCAAGGAGAATACGAGATACAAAGATTGAAGAGGAGAAGGCTAAAAGATGAGAGGGCTATATGGGAAGAAAGCGATGCCATTTTGTTTATATTCAAGGGAGACTCCTTACCGACCAAAATGTACATCGGCCAGGGGTACGTGTGGCTTAAAATGGAGCCCTTTATAGAAAGCGTGAAGCAGTGCTTCCGCTGCCTCAGATTTGGGCATTTGCAGGCGGTCTGCAGATCGAAAAGTAAAAAATGCATGATTTGCGGGGATGAATTTCACGGCGAATGCAGGAGAGAACCCGTGTGTATAAATTGTGGGGAAAGTCACCGATCAAATGCGAGAGAGTGCGAAGCTTTCCAGCAGGAAAGCGAACTCAGAAAAGTTATGGCATATAAAAACGTGTCGTACTCGCAAGCAAAGGACACGCTCAGGGATAAATATGCAGGCAGGAGGTTCGACCTGAACCTCGAAAACGAGAAAGACTTCCCCAAGCTAAGGGGACCGCGCAACAACAACAGAGGGGAAAAATGGGAAAGGTTGGAAATACCCGAGAGAAGAGAAACGATAAATGAATGGAAACAAAGAAGCAGTAACCATCATGGCAGGGAAAAAGGGATAAGCGATGACAGCGATAACGACTATAGAAACCGAGATATTCAGATACCGGGATATCAGAGAAGAAAGAGAAATGAGGACGGCCCGAATGGAAGGAAGAATTAAAACCCTACACAAAATTCCAATGGCACGGGGCAGGCCCAAAGTGAAAAATGCCCCCAATATTGACGTGTACGAAGGGAACAATTATGAACAGGATGAGAGGAGGAGGAGAATGACTGGCAAAATCAGAGGAGAGAACTACAAGCTCCTGGAGGACATTAAGAACAAGACCTATGATGAGATATTAGATCAGATAATCATGCTGATAACGGAAAGAAACTTGCTGAATTGTTTCGAACAGAAGTTAAGAAAGGAGAGGAAATGGAAAAAAAACACCCAAGCAGCGGACACGAATGAAGATTGGTGGGGTAACGGGCCCCACCTCGAACTAGTGATCCCCGAGAAACAGGCAAAAATATTCGCGAAACAAAAAGAAAGAAGGGAAGAGATAAAAAGATTAAAAGAAAGCACAGCATCAGATACCCAGATAACACAGGTAGAATACGATGAAGAAATGGATGAAGAGGGAAAAAGAACTGCTACCCCTTCTCCGGTACCCGAAAGAGCACTGTCACCCATAGAAATAGAAATAGAGACCACTTCGATGGAAATTAGCAGAAGGGAGGAAGACGAAACTAGCAAAGAAGCGCACAATTAAAACATTGAACGTCAAACAAAAACTGATAAACAACAATATCTGTACAGGTAGTGATAAGAGACCTAGTAAGTAAATTAATATATATAGTCATATTTTAGACAACTAAGAGTTTAAAAAAAAAAAAAAAAAAAACCTTAAAAAAGAAAAACCAAAAAGAAAATTACGTTATATACTCAAGTATAGTAGCTGTAAATATACATACTAACTCTAGATTAAGGACAAACAGTAGTCTAACACAATATTATCACCCAATACCCTAAACGGACTCTGTAAGATGAAAATAGGTTTGTGGAATGCAAGAAGTATCAGAGGAAAAATGGCGGAGATTGGAGCAATAATCGATGAGTATGACATACTGGCGGTCATGGAGACGTGGCTGTATCCGGAGTTTGCACTCTCATTCAAGGGATATAAGATAGTAAAACGAGATGCGCTCGACAGCACGAATAGAGGAACTAGAAGAGGTACAGCCGAGGGAGGCCTGTGCCTCATAATAAAGGAGCAAATAAAATTCCAGGAAAAAACGATAAACGATGATACGAATATGGAAACGTTGGCGGTATCCATTGAGTCAGAGGAGGGTAACACCGACCTGATCTTGATATATAGAAGCCCATCCAAAAACACCACACAAACGCAGTGGAACAATCTTCTTGATAACCTAGAAAGAAATGAGAGAATGATCATAATGGGAGATATGAACGCCAAGAATATGATGTGGAACTGCGCAGAAGACGACACGCAGGGATTAAGATTGGCAAACATCCTGGAGGAAAGGGACCTGTTCGTGGTAAACGGGCACACCCTGTCTCGCCCGGCCTCGGGCTCGTACAGGGCGTCCAATATAGACTTGCTTATAACGAAATTTGAAATGTTGCAGAGGATAGACGCCAGTAACTCGGGACTCACGCTGGGGTCGGATCACCAAATAATTGATATACAGACGGATATGACAGTGCCTCCGGGCGGCGTGAGTAAACGCTTCTCGACAAGAAAGTACGGATACAAAAAAATCAACTGGAACATGTACAAAATGAGAATGGACGTGGCGAGTGGGGACCTTGCGAGGAGCGGGCCCGAGGTGATGAGCGAGACGGAGGAGGAAGCGGAAATAAGAAAGGCAATATATAAGGGATTGAAGGAGGCAGGAGCCACCAAATCCAAGCAGATTCGAAACAATCACGGGAGACCCAAGGAGAATGGGAAAAGAAAGAACAAAAGAAGATGGTGGGATGAGGACTGTGATAGGGTAAGAGAGGAGAAGAAGAGAGCCCTAAACACGTTCAATAGAAGACGAAACGAAGAAACCTGAAAAGAATACAAGGTCTGCGATAAGAAAATGAAGGCCATGATAAAGAAGAAGAAAAGAGAGGCGTGGGAGAAATTCGCGGACAGCGTGAACCATAGTGCTGACTGCAGAACTCTGTGGGAAAAAATTAAAGGACTACAAAAAGGCGCTAACCCTTCCCAGAGCATTATGACACCGGATGAAAGAAGCGAGCTGGAACAATCCGAGATAAATAAGATCTTTGATAACGATACTCTACCGGTCGAGACGACGAACGGTGTCGCGACGGATGAACAGAGACAAATATATGCTGATCAAACAACAAATCAACAGGAGAACCCGTTGAATATGAGGGAAATGATGTCGGCCATCGACAAAATTAATAAAAAGTCCGCACCAGGAGCAGACGGAATAGATAATAAAACGATAAGTATGCTACCTATTTCCTTCTTAAATGTAATGGTAAAGTTGTTCAATAGGGTGTGGGACTCCGGCAAAGTGCCACCAAGCTGGAAAACGGCAGTTGTCATACTATTAGAAAAACCGGGGAAGAAAGCGCTTAGACCGATCGCTCTGACCAACTGCATTGGAAAACTAATGGAAAGAATCGTGAATACTAGATTGGTAAGATGGGCCGAGGAAAACAACGTGATACACGAGTGACAGAATGGATTTAGAAGAGGAAGATCGACGATCAATAATCTGGTGAGGCTTAGAACAGATGTACAAAATGGTTACAACAGCGGCAGAGCCACACTAGCCGCGTACCTGGATGTAAAATCGGCCTACGACAGGGTTGACCATGGAATGTTGCTAGCCATTTTGAGGAAGAAAAGATGTCCGATCAAAATATTTAACTACATTAAAGACTGGCTCAAAGGAAGGACGGCAACGGTCGTGAGAAGATTTGAAGATGACGAAGAGGGTAGGGTTGTAAGGGGGCTGCCACAGGTGTCAGTACTGAGCCCAATCCTGTACAACATATATACGAGCGAAATAATGGAAGGCTTCGACGATGAAGAACTGGTAAAATTACAATTTGCAGATGACATCGGTATATACGTGTCCACTATTTATCACAACATTGGCAATGTCAGAAAGTTGGAAACGGCACTAGACAGAATAATAGTGAACCTGGAAAAAATAGGCTTAAAATTATCAGTGGAAAAAACGGTTATCGTCAATTTCAACAGATGGAGAGGGACGAGAAGCTCGGATAGTAGAGCGGGTGGGGCGGTCACGGTGAGGGTAGGATACGCGCGAATAGTTGAGGCAAACGAGGCAAAATTCTTGGGGATAATTTACGATAAAAAGTGCTATTTTCGCGAACATACGAAATACGTGGAAAGGGTAGCGAGAGACAGGCTTAACATGCTAAGATACATCACACATATTTCTAAAGGTGTGGATCAAAATATAATGCTAATACTATACAAAGCGTTGGTCAGATCGGTGTTGGAGTACGGGGCGATGATCTATATAGATGGGAGCGTGAACAACATAGAAAGAGTAAACAGAATCCAGAATGCTGGGATTAGGATAGCAATAGGATATAGAATAACGACACCCACAAACGTGATGCATGTCGAAGCGGGAATTATGAGTCTAGAGACAAGAATAGGTTTATTGACAGGAAAATACCTCCTCAAAAAGATAGGAAATAGGAATGGGACGTTTTTGGACTGGTTTTATAGAGCATGGGAAAGTGTTAGAGATAGACCAGTGAAAAACTTAACTTACGTAATGAAAACTTTTAGGAAACACGAGGAATTGATGACGCTTGCGAGACGGAATGCAGAACGCCCGAGAACTGAGTTGCTGGAATGCCCTGAGCCCCGGACAGAGTGGCGTGCCGGGGAAATGATGGTACTGCCGAACGCGATCCTGGCGAGCATCCCAGCGGAAACGAAGCAACACTATGGCTCAATCAACGAGAGCTTCGTCGAGATGTACACCGATGGGTCCAAGAGGCAGGGGGCCCAGTCGGTTGGAGCGGCTGTCGTCACCAAAAACCACGACAACTGGAACGAGAGGGTCGTTAGCGTGAACCCGAGGGCCACCATCTTCACTGCAGAAGCAATCGCGATGGTGGAAGCGTTAAAGACTTACAAAGAATCGGAGGACGATAGAAGACTGTTGCTGTACAGTGACTCGGCGAGTGTTCTCAAAGTTCTAGACGGCATAAAAAGTAAAAGTATGAGTGACATACCGAATGGTAAAAGAAACGAAATAATTGCTAAAATACTAAAGGAACTGCATGAAATCTGTGTGCGTAAAAACTTACCGTGCGAGGTGGCAGCGGACCGTAAAAAAGCGCCGGTCGTATTCGTGTGGGTGCCAGCGCACAAAGGCATCGTAGGAAACGAAAAAGCGGACGAGGCGGCGAAGAGGGCCACGGATCGCCCACCGGACTCGGACTATGTAATACCGTATGAGGATATTTTAGTGACCTTGGTGGAAAGTGCGTGAAAGGACTTCTCGACAAATATGAGAAGAGAGGCGACCTATAAGGGCGCGCGTTACTTTAATGAAATAGACACAAACGAGGGCTGTAAAAAACCGTGGTTTAAAAAATTTGCGATACAAACCAAAAGGACGATCTCAGTTCTGAGTAGGGTTCGATCCAATCATTATAACCTGGGAGAATTACTCGCGAGAAAATACCTCGTGGAGGACCCGGGGTGCGACTGCGGACAGGCGGTCGAAGACCTGTGTCACGTGATGTGGGAATGCGAAAAATACGATCATATTCGAGGAAAATTTATAGACAAACTACGCGAGAGGGAGCTACGGGGTAGACCCCAATACCAAGACTTGATTAAAAGGGACAAACCGGCGGTATGCGTCGCGTTGGCGAGGTTCTTAATAGAAACGAGCAAAATAATTTAGAGCGCGGGCGCGGAAAACGGGGACGCTCTGGGAGGCGAAACCGGTCCTGAATGTAGAGGACGGAAGGCATGTGTGAGTGAGAGAAGAGGAGTGACGGAAATGAGTGGTGTGAGGGGAAGAATGGATAGGGAGGAATAGCCGGCCTGGGGTGCCCGGGGTGCGGGATGCGAGGGAAAAGTCGATAGGCAACTGTTGGACGATATTTAAAAATCAAAAATAACATTTATTGGACTCGATACAAAACAATAAATTACAAAAGAAAACGCGCCTCCCGACTCCGGACTCCTGTGTGCGGGGTCCCCGGGACCGATGCTCCGGCCCTGGTATGCGGAGTGACCTGAAAAGAAAGAAAATAATGAGTGTACAATTAGTCAGAATCGCTACCGAGTATGTAAACGGAACCACCTCTTCGAGAGGAAGGAAACAGAGAGTAAGTATGGGAATAAGTGGGAATTGGACCCAATGAAAAGAAAATAAAGTCGAGAAAACCCTCGAGGGATGGTTTCCGGAGGCTTGGAAAAAGCGAATAAAGTGCACGAACGAGAGAGAGTGAGAGAGAGTGAATGGTGGTATGACAGAAATGAGTTTGGGAGAATGAGAATGGGAATGAGAGATATAAAATTAGAATAAGGCTTGTACAGAAAATCATTATATAACGTATATATTATCATAATTGAGTGGGGTAGCATGGGAAAAGTAGTGAGGTGCGTTCGAGCGGAGTGCCGGGACCTGTGACAGAAGTGTCAAACTAAGAGAAATAGCAGTACTGCGAGAACTTAGAGGAAATAATGAGTACGCTAAGCAATAAAACCAATAAAAGTATGGAAAGAAACAAAAACATAAAGGTATGGAAGAACTGGCAAGCGTAAAAGTATGGTAAAACGTAGAAAAGGAAAAAGAAATGTACACAAATGTAAGAAAGAGGAGAATCAAAATGTGCGGGGTTTGTGTTGGCAGCGCAGCCAACCCATCCCCTAGGCGCGTGGCCGAAAGTTTTCATTCGACGACGCGCGAAGATCTCCTCCGCCAAACGTAGAACGTTCAGAATGATTTTGTCGCTTGACTCTGACAAGTTATTCTCACGCTGAAATCAAAGGCATTTAATAAAACATAGTTTGAGACAGTTTGGATAAATAGTTGAAACTACCAGTATCAAACAACAGTAATCAACAGTATGTTTAACTCATTTCGCACCTTGCGAGCAGGGTGCTTTAGCGCCCCACGGGTACCTTACCCACGTTCTTCAACATCCTAAAAATCCCTAAATATCCAAATCCACACGCAACACCAGGGTTGGGTCATCCGAGCATTTTCTAGGGTTTTTTACATTTTACAGTATTTTACGGTAAGATACGTTAAAAACGTATAAAACGTATAATACCAGATTTGCGCCGTTTGGGTTAAACTCAAAATAAAGAAATAATCACAGGATAGCCTTAATTTATCTAAAAAGATGTATTTATGTTACAGAATACAGAATATAGTCCCCAAAAAATGAACTCCTCTACTAATAAAAATACTTGTGTAAGTAATCGTTGTTCATTATTGGAAAAATGATTTTTTGAGAATATTTACTGACAGTATGTTACATAAAATATACTTACAATTAGATTATATTTAGATATAATAAAATTTGTTAATAATAAGAGAAAATATGAAATATATTTTATTATTATTAATATTATTATTAATTTTGAATCAAGACATGTTCGCAAAAACAACAATACGCAACTGTTTTCCCTTCCTCTTATATTGGTAGAAAATTTTCATTTTCACAACATTTATGGCGAGGCCTGCCGCTAAAACTTCGTTTCATGGCTTTATTTTAACTAGAGGGTGAGACATAACTGCGAAACTCCCTGATTTTAATAATAAATATCATAAATAAAGATCTATGGATAACTACGTCTGTTTGGTATCTATAGTACATAACGTTATGTAGAGATGGCGCCACTTGGAGTATAATTGTGGGATGATGGTAATGTAGTTCAAGTGTTCAGAAAGAATCCTCTGTCGGTAATAGCGTGCTGCTCTTACCTTCACCTCACTACATGTGTAAGATTGATCTCTATTTAATCGCATTTAACTCTGAACAGATTAACTAATTCAAATCAAACTTTAAGGGGGTAGACACG